AAAAATTTTCAGCGCATAACTTCTATGAAAATTTTTCATAGTAGCTTATTTATAACTATTGTTCTTAAGATTAAATATGAATATTCAGAATAAACACTCATTCTCAAATTACTTATTAAAGTTCTTATGACTTATTCTTAAAGTTCATGGGATAAGAAAAACATCTACTTGAATTAAAAGTCTAGAAACTCAAATTATTAAAGAATGATTTTTCATTCGTTCCACAAAATATTTTTGTGTCACAAAATGAATTATCAGTAGAAATTAAAATTTTACATTGAACTTATCTGCACCATTCATATTCGATTAAAAATTCATAAATTTGAATTTCTTTTTGTTATTCTTCAATCTTATGTATGAATATATTTTGTTTTTTTCTAACTTCAATCATCGATTGTTCTCTTCTATTTAATTGTGAATCAGATGCTGTATGTTCTTTTTCAAAATAAGTACGTGAAAAATTAATATCTCCAACAATCATTGCAATAATTTTATTATTTATGATTGAAAGAAATATTACAATTTATATATTGATTCTAAATGGTATTCGTGCCTGTGGTAGAAGTGAAAGCCTCACAACTACATCTTGATTAGAGCCATGCAGGGTATAGGTAACCTGCCCTGCCCTGTCCGGGCAGGGCCAGGTTACGAAAATTTTTACAGGGCAGGTTGCAGGGTACGAGTATCGTAACCTGTCAACCTGTGACTAGTTTTATGCGTTAGATATTGTAGATATCTTTTCTAAAGTTATATACTAAGAAAAAAAATAGAAGTGAAAGTGAACTGAAAAATCAATTTAGATTAGTCGCAAAGATACTCAATAGAAGCAGATATGTCGGTAACCTATCCATTATACATTGTGTAGCTACTCAAGTGTGCATTTAGTTTTCTTATTTTGAGTTTTATCTTGCTCTTTTCTTTATTATCATCATTAACTAAGCTCTCAAATATTATCATCAATATCAGTTAGATTTTCTTGCTAGTGAAATATCAACTATGTCTAATTCAAAAAAAGATATGGAACGAAAAAAGAAGCAGATGATAGAAAAACTTAAAACTGGTGAATTTATAGCTACACTACAACCGCCATCATCATCTTATAGTTCATTTTTGGAACATTTATTATATATTAAATGTTTCAATAATGAATATCAACCGTTCGTACAATGTCGATTGTTCTATGAGATATTATCATATCCCATATCAAGTGAAACTTCTACTATTAGCTATCATTTTAAAAATTGTTTAGATGAATCAAATACACTAAAAAACAAGAAATCTCTTAATAGGATGTGGATATGCGAAGAGAAGATTCATACTCTACACCACACCCACATCGGAGCATGTTTTTAGCTCATCAGATCGAGTATTAGAAAAAAGAAGGCAGTTTTTAAACCTAGATATTGTTGATGATATATTGATGGTTAGAAATTTTCGAGATATATAATGTTGTTTGGTTTTGCTTTATGGTTGTAACAATTCGAAATGAAATTTAATAATAAATTGATACGAAAGTTTGGAATTTTCATCGGTTTTAAAGAAAACAGGGCAGGACAGGGCAGGTTAAAGGTTATGAAATAAATTCACAGGGCAGGGCAGGATACGCGAAAAAGTTTGCAGGGAAGGGCAGGATCAGGTTGTCAAAATCTCAGCAGGGCAGGTTACAGGTTGTCAAAAGAGCGTAACCTGCAGCCCTCTAATCTTGACAAGAATCAAATCTTCCACAGATATCATAATTCTAATACAATGCATAAGATATGCTACACAACAAAACAAAACAATATAAAAAAAAAACACTAGAAAAAAATATTCATACTCTATATCTAAAAAAGCCAAATCTATTAAACATACTCGAATTAAACGATGAGATCTTGTTCTAATGGCTATCAATATACTAAAAAACCATATTCAATATCTTTAACTAATGCATTAGATGCGGTACCTGTTCCTCAAAACACTCAACATAAACAGATAATTACTATAAATCTGAAGAGTTACGAAGATTTATCGAATATTGTCCCATATCTTTAAATACTACAGCTTGAAAAATGAAAACCCAATGTGCAAATACTTTCATCATTTTTCACTCCTCTTTCTATATTACTCCCCCCCCCCCCCCCCCCCCCCCTGCTCAAAAAGATAAGTAATGTTGAAGAAATCGTTCGTCGTCAGTTTAATCGGAATATCAATTTATATAATACTACTAGCAATCATTAAATACTGTCTCGATTTCATAGCTACTCATGCTGATATTTACAAATATACAATTTTTAATAGACAGCAAAGAATTTTTTAAATACCTATAGAATATTTAAATAACTATGCAAATACTTAAATAGCTATGTAAATACGTAAATAGCCATGCAAGTAATTAAATAGCTATGTGAATACTTAAATAGCCATGCAAGTAGTTAAAAACCTATGCGAATACTTAAATAGCTATGCAAGGCTTAAATAGCTATGCATATACTTAAATAGCTATACATATACTTAAATAGCTATGAGAAACTTAAATAGCTATGCAAGTAGTTAAATAGCTATGCGAATACTTAAGTAGCTATGGGAAACTTAAATAGCTATGTTAATCTATGAACAAGTTAAATAGCTATGCAAGTAGTTAAATAGCTATGCGAAACTTAAATAGCTAGACAAATACTTAAATAGCTATGAGAAACTTAAATAGCTACGCCAATACTTAAGTAGTTATGAGAAACTTAAATAGCTATGCAAGTAATTAAATAGCTATGCGAATACTTAAATAGCTATGAAAGAGTTAAATAGCTATGCAAATACTTAAATAGCTATGTTAATACTTAAATAGCCATGCAAGCAGTTAAATAGCTATACAAATACTTAAATAGCTATGGAAAACTTAAATAGCTACACAAGTAGTTAAATAGCTATGAGAAACTTAAATAGCTAGACAAATACTTAAATAGCTATGTTAATAATTAAATAACCATGCAAGCAGTTAAACAGCTATACAAATACTTAAATAGCTATGGAAATACTTAAATAGCTATAGATACTTTAAATAACTATAAATTTTTCAAAGTCGTTTGTATTGGACAAAAAATTGTATCTCTTTTGAGAGTGAGCCATAAAAACGGCACCTGTTATATAGACATAATCTTGGTTTAATAAATGCAATTAGTTTAGCTTACGAAAATATTCATTTAAATTGTATATTATGTAACAAATTACAACTTTGCATTTGAAAGCGTGAGCTTTTTAAATACTAAATAAGACTTGAACACTTTTAATCATATACTACAACTAAAGATCGAAATTCGAATTTCAAAAGAGTCATTTTTGACATGAATAACTATTTGACATTACATGTTTAATAGATATATGATAACTGTAGTGTTTTATTATATCAATTAATGTATCGATGATAGCAAGTGTAAAATTGTAGATCAGATCAAACTGTAATAATATCGATATATTATTAAAGCATTGCAAAAAAATACTGTGCAGCAGTTTTTTATGAAAAATGTATCTACTATGTAAAATTGAAATTAATAAGATTTATTTGATATGATATCAATCAATTACAACCATTATGAAATCTTTTATTTCTACCGAAGCATATCTTTTTCTAATCTGAGAATTTTAATTTTCTATCCTGTTATATATCAATTATCCCAAACGTACCATTAAATTGCCTCCTACTCGTAAATATATATATGAAAACTTTGCATTATTATTTCTAGATATATTTATGATTAATTACTTTTTTTCGAAAATAATTTCGATAATAAATTGTCATTAATTTTCTCGACTAATCGATTAAAATGCTATAAAAAAGAAAGATTATTTTGAATAGAAAGATACATATATATAAATGTATAGAATATTAAATCTCTTTACATTTTTTTGAAATATTTCTATTCAAACATACTCTTAACTATGATCTTATTCTTAATATACAATAATTTTTTAAAAATGATTTTTAGTTTTGCATTGTATTTCATAATTTTTTTTTTGAATATAATATTTATCAGCGTGTCGTCTTGCTCAAAAAATGAAGAAAATTGTACAAATGATAATATGCAATAGAAGTATTAATAGAGTTAAAATTAATTTTTACATATAACACATAAAAGTCATATAAGCAACCAAGTTCGAAACCAATATCGTCTCGTCGACGAGCATATAAGCATAAGTCACTTTTAAAAAGAAGATTAAATAAATTATTCCATTCTTCACCAATTTCTGTATGAGAAGCATTAAAGTTTATATTCTGTATTACATTCATAATATGCATATGAATACGGTGATAATCTTTGCATAATGAACAACAAAAAAATCTTCCAATTTTTCCAAAACTCGATCGATTTCTTTTCTGCACCATCCACATGTATTTAGTAAAATCATTTTGGTACTTACTAGGGAACCTTCCAAGGTGCGGGAGCGCTTTTCAATCGGGGTTTCGTGCATCTTGTAGCCCGTAGTGAGTTATGCTTACGGTAAAAAAAGTTCGGGTTTCTGGCTTGTTTCTGAGGCGCTAGAGCATTTTTATTATCATAATTATAAGGGTTATTTTATCAGCAAAAAATAATATACCAAACAATACATACGGAAATGAACCAAGATTTTTGTCACAAATAGTATTAGTCATGGAGGACACAATGTCAGAATTTGAGCTCAGACAACCTTGAGAAGATGCAATTATTAACTTTAGACAATAATAATATCGTTCTATATGTCATTACATCTAGTATTTCCTAGAATTGTAAGATAATCGTAGTCTTTCACAATAGTATATTCATTTTCATTCCTGTCTTATTGGCTCCAACGGCACCTATATGATAAATTACATATATAGTGTTAGCGAATATCTTTGATGTATGAATTATATATATCATTGAATGGGAAGAAATAAACCAAAGTAATTTACTTGGACAAATTGAACTATAACCACGTGTATAGGAAAGAGAAGAATAAAATATATTGTATAGGTTATCTGATATTCATTTTATTCGTTTCTGACAAAAATGATAAATGCATCGGTTGTATGTTCTCTTCTCACAGAGAAGTTTTCTCAATCTACAGGATCGAGAAAAATTAGTCTTCAATCTCCATCAGCACGTGAAGAAGAGGTTACCAATCATTTAGCTGAATTATTAAATACAATTATCAACTGTCATGAGTTTACTGTAGAAAGTGAAATTTCTCTTGATTACATTTCCCATGATTTAACCGAAGATGAAATTGATCAATATGCTGTATCAGAAGACTCTGAATTAGATCCTGATTTTAACGACACGGACAATGAGGACAGTGATGGTCTTCTTCAAAAATTTTCTTTAGATTATATGAAAAAGGTTATTGAATATTATGATGAAAGAAATCCGTTGACAGGAAAACGCTGTCGGTCTTGGAAGGGTGGGTGTGAAGCGTCGATTTAAACGTGTTACACATTCATCATATATATCTCGTTTTCGTGCTTATATTGAAAAGGGAGGAACGAGAACGCAAAAATGGGAAAATATTAATAATTATGTTTATCATAAATTTGAACAAGCTCGAGAATCTAATCTTTCTGTACATGATCTCGACTTACGTCGCTGGGGCTTAGAAAAAGCTAAACAATAATTATTCCATGAGTTTACTGCTTCCGAAAAATGGTTGTTTAATTTTAAAATAGAGCACAACATATGCTCGAGAAAAGTAACTAAAGTGAGTAACTTATCTCTACTATTTTTAATAGAGTAATCACTTTTTTGAAAACTACATATTATCTATATCTACTAAAAAATTTATCTTTTTTGCTTTTTAAAAATTTGTTTCCGTACTTGTATAAAAATAGATTTCTTTTTATATCATTTCACGTACCTTCAAATTTCATTCTACTAGATAGATGCTTCTTTATTTTCAATTTCTTATAATATTAATCGCATAGAGAGTATTTTTATCACTCAACTATAAATACAAAACCGTTGAGAAAATATGCAAGAAGAAAGCTTAAAATTCCTGTTTTATTGGACATAAAGATAAAAAATATTCTGCTTTAGGTAATAACAACCAAACAAGTAACAAGTAAAGAAGAAGTTCAACATTCTGCTGATGAATTTGTATCAACTGTACGAAATCTTTTACCAAAATATAATCTTGATTATGTGATAAACACAGATCAATCTGGTATTCAACTTGAGTTTTATTCAACTCGAACCCTTTCTTTTAAAGGGGAAAGAAGTACTGCCATAAATGTTCGTTCGAAGAATGCGACCACACATTCATTTACCGTGCAACCATGTGTCAGCCTCAGTGGCAAACTTGTCGGACCACTTTTCCTTTGTTTAAAAGAACCCGCTGGTTATTTAAGTGAAAATGTTCGAGTAAGATTCTCACATATAATGATCTCTTTTTTTTCGTATTAGTGTAGTTCGAAAAATACATCCTGATTTTTATTGAATATTTCAGGGTCGTCTATTCAAAGCTCCTAATATAGTAGTATCGTGTAGTAAATCCGGCAAACTCACGACTGATCTTGTGAAATTTTGGCGAGGTAATGTCTTACTTCCTTCCATTGCTTCTCATCATACTCTTCTCATCTCTGACTGCTGGCCTGATCAAAGTAATATTACAGGTATTTACGACAATATTAACAAACTTTATCGACTTGAATTACCTAAACATACCACCACACAAATTCAGCCGTTGGATTTATTTTACAATAATCAGCACAAATATATAGCTCGTCGTATGTTCGATCGAGTACTACTTGATGGTCTTGATATTAATTTAAGTGAATGTAATTCTATCATTCGTAGCCAATCTCTCATTTATAATCAGCTATGTGGTCCTGTTTTTCAAAAAATGCTACAGTATGCATGGCACGCAAGTGGATATATAGACGATCATCCCGGTTCTTTTCTAACTGTTAAACAAGTGTGCTTTACATTTCATAACATTTCAGGCAATGGTAGCTGTTGTGAATCGTCTCCCTTTATTTGTTGCAGTTGGTGTAGAAATAACTTTTGCTTCCAACATTTCTTTTCTGATTATCATTTTCATCATAATTTATATGATTTATCTTAAAGTAGTTGTTATGCGGCACATACATTAGCTATTTTTTCGTTTTTCTTCTTTCGGTACGCAATGCTACCGATACACATTGTTAAAATTAGGTCAGATATGAGAATGAATATACTATTGAGAGAGACTACGATTATCTTACAATTCTAGGAGATACTAGATGTAATGACATATAGAACGATATTATTACTGTCTAAAGTTAATAATTGCATCTTCTCAAGGTTGTCTGCGCTGAAATTCTCACATTGTGTCCTATATGACTAATACTATTTGTGACAAAAATCTTGGTTCATTTCCGTATGTATTGTTTGGCATATTATTTTTTGCTGATAAAATAACCCTTATAATTATGATAATAAAAATGCTCTAGCGCCTCAGAAACAAGCCAGAAACCCGAACTTTTTTTACCGTAAGCATAGCTCACTACGGGCTACAAGATGCACGAAACCCCGATTGAAAAGCGCTCCCGCACCTTGGAAGGTTCCCTAGTTAGTTGAATATCAATCTACAAAAAATTTCAGCTCGAACAAGTTCGGCGTTGTTGAGATATAAGGTGCCAAAAAGCCCCATTTGTAAAAGTAGGATTTTATAGTGTTTTTCGTAAATATTGAATAAAAAACGAACGATTCAATATTTTTTGAATCGGCTTTCGTCGAAACTCATGAAACGTCTCGCTCTGTCACATATGTTAAAATGAGCCAAATTCGAGAACACCGATTGAGTACCTTTGGTCATGGTTTACGTGGAATAGCTCATATAGAAAACCAAGATGATCAATTATTTACTACAGTTCATCAAAAACCATCATATGAACCAGATTATCTTCCATTCAACAGTATTCATCCGCTGCATATAAAGAAAAATATAGTGTTTAATGTTACTTCGTGCTATTAGATACTGTTCAAAATTTGGAGCTTATTTAAACGAGCGTGAAAAATTACGAATAGCGCTATTCATAAATAGATATCCGAATATTTTTATTGAAAATCGATTGAAAAATATATTATTGAAATTTAATATTAATCAGCCATCAACTAGTTGTAACTATGAAATGTATCACCAAAAAATAATAGATTATCCAATAAAAGAGAAAAGGTTATTAGATTATGGGAAAACAATGTTTGTACACTTTACATATTGTTCTAGTATGAAATATTTTTCAATGAAACTCCATACTCTTTCGAATAAATGGGGTTGTCCAGTCTGGTCGGATACCCCATTAATATTTTTTTTATTGTAAGGATAAAACATATTGTTGTTCGGGTCATATGAGAGAGAATCATAGATAACCCTGGATCGGTTCGAACAATACCATATTTTATTCTTACAATAAAAAAAGTATTAATGGGGTATCCGGCCAGACTGGGCAACCCCCAATATTTTGATGAATCTTCGATTAATAAAATTATTCCAGTAGTGATACACGAAGTACCGGTAATCTTCACAAAACATTGTTTCATACTAAGATTGGAAATGTAAAAACTTAATTTATTAACTTTATAAATTTACGCAGTTGTCAACAGTTTCTAAATAGCAAATGCATGTTAAACATAGCAGCCAACTGGCTATTAACAGGTTATTGTGAAAATCTACTTCGACAAAATAACTACGAAAATCTTAGAATTAAAACAAAAGTTAAGTTGGACGAAGCATTTAAAGATTACACAAGTCTGAAATATGCATTTCTTGACACTGTCATAATTCATCCGGTCAATATTATTCGCCAACATGCATCAATTATAAGTGTCGTCAGTTCCGACGATTAATTGTATTTACCAATAATAGTATTCGTTTGTCATTAATATTTGAAAGAAGATAAGTATTCTATTATAACTATTATTGAGCTGACTGAGATAGTCGAACAACTATTGGATGATTATTATTGCAACCGTGTTAGACTTAAAAATTTACTATCCATAAAAGTCTTGTATTTCTTTACACTCTTAAAATTTTTTATGACAAGAAGCCACAATCATTACAACGTTTGTGAAGAGAAGCACCATGGCAAACTGAACGTACTTATGCTCAATGTTATTTTTTTTTACAGCAATTGGACGTATGATTATTATTAATCCATCATTACAACATGTTCCAAAACGTTTTATTATTCAATCATTAGAAAAAGAATCGACAGTTCGATTACGACAAATGAGTATTGCTCGAACGGGTAATAATAAATTGCGAAAAAATAGTAAAATTATTTTTTTTTATAATGAAAAAAGATTTGAATTGATATAAGTTCTAGTGGACCTGAATGGTGCTGATCTATATCTATAAGAAACTATATTCAAAGATTATTCGATGGAATTTTAGTTTAGAATAGAAACAGATCTCACGATCGTCTTGGCATTGAACGATGGAAAGAATTGAAAAAAATCGACTAGAATTATCCATAAATTAATCTTGTCTTCTTTTCTAGGTTTTCAACTTGTTTCATTCGATTATTCTCAATTGGAATTACGCATTCTTGTTCATCTTTCCAATGATAATAAATTAAAAACACGTTTAATAAATGATACTGGCTTTTTTATGTCATTTGCTGCTGACCTTTTAAAAAGTCAGAATATGAAATAACACATGAACAACGTCAAAATGGTAAACAAGCATTAACCTAATATCTACTCATCTAAATCTTTTTTTAATAATTTTTAAGATTTGTTATGGTATTCTCTATGGTATGTCAAAAGGACCATTTGCACCTGAAATACGTATGAATATAAATGAAGCTGAAGAATTTATTGAAAATTTTTATACAACATTTCCAATAATGACTCAATTTATTGATGACATTATATTAATCAGTATAACAAATGATGTCAGCTATCTTTATCTTTTATCTTCTTTAAAACAGTTTGTTGTTATATATTTAAAAAATCCTATTGTAATATGATCTTCCTGGATTTGAACGAAAAATTCATTTCTAAAGCTTTTTTTTGCATTTTTTTCAAAACGTGATTTCCAACTAGAAAAACTGAAATAACTCTGTTCTAATTCAAGCTATAACAGATTATTTTTTTTTCTTGCTTTAAAGCTCTAAAGAGGAGTTAACTTTTGTCCGACCATCTTTTTAGTATTGGATTCCAAGGCTAAAAGAAGTGGAAATGAGTATCGTTTGGAACACCATATCTATTAAAATGATCAGAAAAAATGAAGGTAAGGAAATTTTAAAATTTCATTCGGAGAAAAATTGTACACAGAGATTAGCTTTAATTTAAAATTGGCTCGAGTTCCATATCCCTTCTATTAACGAAGTTATTTCAATTCTCATAGAAACTATATAAACAACCTAAAAGTTCGCTTTAGTAAGACGTCTTGGACTAAAATTTTTCTCATAATCGTTTCTCACTAGAACCAGTCATCTCTAAATATTTCATTTCAAACAAACCGTTATAAGAAGGAAAATATCCGTAAGGGAAAGAGTCCTTAATATCGATAAACAAACATTAATTAAACAATTAAATATAATCACAAAATCAAATAATATTGAATAAATTTTTACAAAAAGAATATATTTTTTTGATCCATAGAAGACTAGGAAGAAAAATCTCATGGATAAAAGATTGAGAGAGAGTAAGGGTTAAATTCTCATGGAAAATATTTCATAATGAAAAATAGAATTTCTAGTGTAATTTTTCATGGTAATTCCAAATATTATACTTATTTTACGTAAAAGCCAACTTTCAACAACAAAGACCTCTAAATACTTTCTATGTTCTGGTATTTTTCTATGTAATCTTTTTATTTCTAGATAAATTAAGATGGACAAATTGTTCGAAATCTTATTAAAACAAAATAAAAAACATACTAATAACCAGTTAGACAAAATTTTTATCTTTATTTATACTTTTATTATATATTATTGTTCACAATCTGAAATAAGGAAAACTTTTTTTCTCTAAAAATGTATATTTTGTATTTTGAAAAATGTATTTATAATATAATTGAATGTTATCGAAATCAAGGTAATAGTCAAAATAGTTGAGGATGTGGGTGTGGGTATACGCGAATTGAACACTCGCTCACACCCACTCCCACACCCAATTCAACGTAGATGACCACTTGGCACCTTTATTTAATTCACACATTGCATCACGTATTCTAGATATCAGTTGGTGTTCAACTTCTTTTGCAAATCGATTCGGCATTTGATATAATCGAATCTGATTTAAAGGTATTTGTCCAACTTTTCTTACTACTGAGTAATGATTCCATTTTCGAATTTCCAACTCAGCACCAACATATGTCGTGTAGTTGGTTTTACTCACCACATAAAGATCATAATGAGTAGCAATGAAATCAGCTTTTGTAGACAATTCTGTAAGAAAGGTTAGTAAAAAATAAAAAATATTATTTTCAAGTACCTGAAATATCAATTGCTACACCGAAATGTGATTTTTTTTCCGATTTCAGCTTCACCTTCTTTTTTCGATTTACGTATAATAAGATAAACTGAACCAGCTTGAGTTTAATCCTCGAATTCACCTGGACAAAGCATATTATGTTGACGTATATCGATCTTGTCCAATCTGATTCCCATATAAAACTCATAGTTGATTTTATATCTATAATGAGAAAAGACTATATATGATATCGATGAAGAACAAGCGTTTTTCATCATCTATTATCAAAGTTCTTTTATTAAATAATGTTTAGACTTGACAACGAAAAGAAAAAATAAACAAATTTGAACAGTCTATAGTCATTGGTGATAGAAAAGGGGAAATTCTTAAATGGTATACCGATGTCGTACCAGACAAATCTATAGAAAGCATTACAGCAATCGGGACATCGGGTAGTGATGATACACATAGAAGTCGTCAAGGAATCTCTGTTTTATAACGAACACGAAGCAGTAAGTGACGGATCTAGGATTTTTTGATGCGACTGAAGAATACGAAGAAATTTCAGATATTTTCAGTATAGGAAAAAGCAGAAAAAAATTATTTATGCGACTAATCAACAGACATTAAATTGAATGATACTTGTTTTGTTTTAGATATGTTGAAGGAGAGCTGGTTTATTTCTTTTCTCGCTGAAAACATACAATGCCTACAAGTAGATATTTAATAATTTTAGATAGTTTTTATTTAGTTAAAGTTCGTTTCTTCTAGTGACGGAATCAGGATTTTGGTCTCGGGCAAGCTGAGCTCCGTATGCATTGTCTAAAGTCTGCCACTTTAGTGATGAAAACCTAAGTCTCAATGGATGCAAAATTTCCTAGGGAAAGTTGAGCTACCTCTTGCTCTCCCGATGGCTATGCACTATTTCTCTGACTATAATGGTTTTTATCTCAAAAATCTGTAGCCAATCTTACTTTTTCCTTGGTGCCTCCATAATGGCGTACATGTTTTCCCTTAAACAGTGTCCTCAATTATTGCCAGCGAAGGAAAACAATTCTTACTAGACTGTGAAAGTGCTAATAATAATGTTTTTTGGAATCGAATACTGGAAATTTAATTTAATGTCACAAAATACACTTTCTCTGTTTATTGATTGACTCAACCTTTTAAAAAGCTAAATAAATGTGGAAACTTCGGATTTAAATCCGAGAATTATATGTGTACTTCAAAAAGTGAATGAGACAGATGAGTCATCCTAGAATGTGTGAACGTAAAAATTATCCGGGCAAACCTTTGCTATAAAAACTTGATCTCTATTGGCTACTGCTCAAATAATAAGATTTAGAAACGAATATAGCTCCGATTTGAACTCTTTGCCTTGATTTATCCTAAGAAAGTTGTTTTTTCTATAACTTGATTTCTATTGGTTACTGGTCAACCAATAGGATGTCCAGGCAAATAGGGCTCAGATTCAAATTCTCCGACACAGAAAATCTCGAAGTATCATCTCTGTGATCGAAAGACAGAGCTCTAATTGTGGATCAATTAGAGCGTGGACAAAAACAGAACCAATTCCCGTTTAATTATCTTTGCAATAGGTGAGTTAACCTTCTTGTTTCTTCGTTTCATAACTATTTTGTAGTTCGTGAAATTCTCTATCGAATGGTATAAATAGTTGTGGTTTTATTTGGTTACGATAGGAAAAGTTTTTTACGAAAGCGGGGATAGGCCGATTTTCTCATAGGAAGGCATAGGGAATAATGACTATTTTTGCAATAACTCAGGAACGGCTCGGCCAATCATTCTCATCTTCGAACGCGACCAAGATATTGTTAAGACTAAACTGTGTAGAAAATTTCATCGCAATCAGATTCTTCTTTCAAAAGTTATCGTGTAAACGGCCGGCCACACACACTGACTGATTCTAAAGTGTATGAACTTTTTGAGTACACAAAAAAAAATATTTACTGTAATATCCGTAACTTGATTATAATAGATAGCAGGTAGTTGAAAGATCGATCTGAGCATACTACGTAATTGTTTACCATGAAGTATAACAGAGTCGAGTTTTCTACTTGTGATTCAATTTGAAAGATTTAGCTCATACGTGTGAAATGATGAACAACTCGAGCATTTCTCGATTGCTCAGCTCTTGGTTATTTAGATAGTCAAAGCAGTACAATAATTGCTAACAATGAAACCGAGTAAAGTACCAGCACGAGGTCTGTTCGAACTAATTTGTGAATGGTAGATCATTATCATAAAACAAATCGAAGGCCGACTCATTCCGAGAT